CACTACTTCAAATGTACAAGGGGCTCATCATGTCCAGGCTTCTCTATTCACTGCCGCTACTGGCTGTTGCAAGGGCACAAATTCGAGACATCGATACTTTTCACCGGTCCGCACTACGAAGCTGCTTGGGACTGCCTCCTTCAGCAGAGAACGTGGCCACAATTGTTGCAGCGGAAGAATGGCCGCTGTCTTTGAGACTTGAAGAGACAGCGCTGCGCAACATCGCTCGTATGAGCAGTCTCCCCCCTGCGGACACAATCCGTAAACATCTCTTTGCCCGGCCAAACTCTCACCTCGGGCGCCAAGCAAGACGATTCGACTTTGAGGTTGGAGCTCCTAGCGAATTTATCCTTCCTCAACCACCACATTCCACGCGTCCTCCCCTGGAGATACATGCGACGCTCCCAATCGCACAGCGCAAGGCGAATGTCCCAGAATTTGTCTCTCGCTCAATCGCTCTTGAGCGCATAGACGAAGTGTATGAAGGTTGGATTCATGTTTATACAGACGCCTCAATTAACGTCACCAAACGGACTGCCACCGTTGGGATTACCATTCCAGAAATGGGCTATGATATATCGGGCAGGCTAAATTTTGTATCGTCGTCAACCACGGCAGAACTCGTTGCCATCTGGGCTGCTCTTGAGTCTATTAAGAACACCTCGTCACCATCAAAAGCTGTCGTACTCACAGACTCAAGAGGTGCTCTTCAGCAGCTTCAGAGGCTTCATAATGCAACCCCACTGCTGGCGAGAGTCGCGTCTGAGGCAGCGGCAGTTGAAGACATGGGATGGTGCCTTGCTTTGCAATGGATCCCGTCTCATGTCGGGATTCCTGGCAACGAACGGGCTGACCAGCTGGCTGCAAAGGCGCATGACGATCCAGTCCCAACCTTCTTACTGGACCGCTACAACGAGGCTCATCGATTCATCCGTGAGATCCTCACAGAACGGCATCCACATTCTGGGGTCGCAACGGGGAGGCCACCCCCCGTGGTTCCCCGCAAGCTCCCTAAGGCTGAGACAAGCCTTCTCCACAGGCTTCGGGCTGGTTGCCCATACACTGCCATGCGGCTCCACATGATGCGTCGCAAAGCGGATCCTAACTGCCCCACCTGCGGCGACCCAGAGGACACAGAACATGCCCTTCTGGTTTGTTCCACACATCACGAGTCCAGAAAAACTCTTTTCCATCACTACTCACTATCTGGCCTGCCATATGCAACTATCACAGAACTTTTGAACCCTAGAGGAACCAGAGGAACAGCGGAAAAAGCCTTCCGCGCCCTTCTGCGCTTTCTTCGTGACACTGGGCTGGCGGATAGACTGTGATTTGGTCCACTTCGCTCCCTAACCAAAGGCTCTGAATTATGGTGATAACTAACTGGGCGGAAATTTATAACTAGATTAGTTGTAAAAAATTGACCTTTTAACTCCTCTTTTTTGTATATAATTTTCATCTTCCCTCTTTCTATCCCTTTTCCCCAACAACCAGGTAGCGGCTCGCCCATTAATTGAGGCCCACATCTCCTGGTTTCCCCCTTTCCCGACACCCCATAATAAACAAACAACAAACAGCAGTGGAAGGTAGAGGCCCGCGTCCCCTCTCCCATTTTGAATGTGCGCGGGCTCTCCTCCTCTCCCCGGAAATGGGGGAGGAGGAGAGCCTGCGTACACTCAAAATGGGAGAGGGGACGCGGGCCTGTACCTTTTAAAGTCCCTTGATGTGTTTGCGCTTGTCTTGCAAGTAGCGTCAAATGCGCGAGTGCACGAGGCCCATGTCTCGAGCGGCCCTTGGAAGCAAATGGCGGCGCAGCACTGAAATGAGCGGGCCTTGGAAGCGAATGGCGGCGGAGCACCCGCTCATGGCACGTGTCTCGCGCGCTTCCACAGCAATGGTTGGCGGTACTTGTAAAAAACGCTTTTATCAAGGGGCTTTAGTACCTTTCACTGCATTGCCAAGAAAAGTTGTCGCGATCGGCGGCGAACAGCCCGTGGCCCGAGCCCACCTCGAGCGCCCGACCTGCATGCGCAGCTGCGAACGTGCAACTCGTTGTGTTGTTGGCTGTTAATGACACAGAGCGCTCCCGGTAGCCTCCTGCCTAGACGCCATGTTTATTCTCTATCTCCAAAAACCCTCGTCGTTCTCCTCTTCTTCAGCAAAGCCTAACAGCACATCTCCCCCTTTTAAAACTGAAGTCTATTTACAGGTTTTACAACTCTTCCACTTCGTGTCGTGTACTCAGTCGATCCAATGTCCGGTGCTGCACTTTTATCGGTGTCTTCACTCCCAGGCACCGGTGTAAGAGCAGTCGATCCGATGTCTGGTGCTGCACTTTTATCGGTGTCTTCACTCCCAGGCATCGGTGTAAGATGAAAGCTGTTTCGGCGAAGAGTATCTGAATAGGTGTCCACTAAGTATGACCTTGGGTACTCCGTTGCAGATTGCACTGTTCCTCTTTTTCGCTGATCGGTAATCCAGACCACATCTCCTCTTCTCAATGGTTTGCGTTGTCTCACACCCCGTCGTCTGTCATAGTTGGCCTTTTGTTGATTTGTTCTTTTTCTTTCCCACCTTTGGAGTTCTTTGGTATTCACAAGCCTAGGTTCCAAAGAAGAGGAAACAGATGGAAGGGACGTTCTCAGCTTGCGACCCATGAGTAATTCGGCGGGACTATATCCATTACCCAATGGTGTTGCTCGGTAGGATTGCAGTGCGATGTAGCTGTCAGATGTCTTCTTGAGGCTTCTCTTAATAATTCTAACAGCAACTTCTACAAATCCATTGCTCTGTGGATATCTTGGACTGGACGTCCTGTGTTCAAAACCCCATTCCTGGGCGAACTGGTGAAATGCACTTCCAATGATTCGCTGGAACTGTGGTCCATTGTCACTGAACACAACTTCAGGCGTCCCATGTCTTGCAAAAATTGACTTTAGGTGTATTATTACACCGTTTGATGTCATAGTATTCAAAAGAGCAATTTCTGGATATCTCGAGTAATAGTCAGTTACTAGAAGATAGTTCTTTCCTGACAGGTAGAACAGATCCATTGCTACTTTCTGCCATGGACGCTCTGGAAAGTTGGATGGCATCAAAGGTTCATGGCGGTTCGACGCTTCTTTGATGCATTCTGGACATCTGCGTACCATACTTTCGATGGCTGTTGAAAGTCCTGGCCACCATACAGAGTCTTTGGCTCGAGCTCTGCACTTGGTGATTCCTTGATGACCCTGGTGGATCTTCAGCAGAATATCAGGACGCATGGACAGCGGTATGATGAGTCTTGATCCTCTCATGAGCAGTCCATCTTGAACGGCGATCTCTGATCGATGTTGCCAATACTCCTTGCAGCTGTTAGGGACTTCTTTTCAGATGGGCCACCCTTTTTCGCTGTACCATGCCAACTGTTTGCATGTAGAGTCCCTGGCCTGCTTATCTTTGATTTCTTGTAGCCTCTTTTCTGTCGCGGGAAGGTCAGCTGTCACCCCCTTGACATATGCAGCCACCTCTTGCTCCAGATCTCTGTCACCAGTTTCGCTTAGAGGCTGTCGGGACAATGTGTCCGCCGCAATTAAAGACTTTCCTGGAATGTGTTTCATCACATAGGAGAATCTCATCATTCTCATCTTCATTTTTTGAAGTCTAGGTGTGATGTCAGCTAGATTTTTAGACATGAAGATTGGCACAAGCGGCTTGTGGTCGGTTTCAATTTCAATGTGAAGGTTCGTGATGAAATCTTGAAACCTTTCACATGCCCAAACTACCGCTAGGCCTTCCTTCTCCACCTGTGCGTACCTTTTTTCCGTCTCTGTGAGTGTCCGTGAAGCGTACGCCACAGGTTTGTAGGACCCGTCTTTTTGAATCTGCCGAAGCACAGCCCCCAAGCCATATGATGAAGCATCGGCTGAAATCACTGTCTTCTTTTTTGGGTCGAACAGCGTCAGTACAGGACTCGTGGTGAGTGCGTGCTTGAGCTGATCGAAGCTTCTCTGCTGTTCCGTAGCCCAAACCCATTGGTTCTTCGAGCTCAGAAGAGAATTGAGTGGGTAGGCGATATGTGACATGTTCGGTATGAACTTTGTCGAATAATTGACCATGCCCAGAAAACTTCTTAGTTCATGAACACTTGAGGGAGGCTTCATGTCAACGATAGCCTCGATTTTGGCGCTGTCTGGGCGAATTCCTTCGCGGTCGATGATGTGGCCCAGGAACTTCACTCTTTGTACGTTAAATTCGCACTTGTCCGGATTCAAAGTCATTCCTTTCGCCTGGAGACGTTCCAGAACCAGACGGAGTCTGTCATCATGCTCTTGTTGCGAGCTGGCATAAATGAGAACGTCGTCCATGTTGCATACAACACCTTCGAGACCGTTCAGAAACTGCGACATCTTCTTTTGGAAAAATTCTGGAGCCGATGATATTCCAAACGGTAGTCTCTTGAATTTGAACCTTCCGAAGGGTGTGATGAAAGTCGTTAGAGCTTGGGACTCCTCAGCAAGCTCAAATTGCCAAAACCCAGAATTGGCGTCGATCTTTGAAAAATAGCGTGCTCCGGTGAGCTGCCCGAAAACGTGTTCTCCTACAGGTAGTGGGTGAACTTCCCTTTCGACGAACTTGTTGAGGTCCGTTAGATCTACGCAAATTCGGACCTCTCCGTTGGGTTTTCTCACGATCACCATTCCAGAGCACCATTCAGTTGGCTCCTCGATTGGCTCGATTATTCCCATCTTTACCATTTCTTCGAGCTTCGTCTTGGTCTTGCCGAGAAGAGGAATGGCCACTCTTCGAGGTGTCATCATTGCGAAAGGTACAGCGTCAGGTCTCAGTTTGATCTTGTACGGAATCTTGACGTGACCCAACCCAGAAAATAACTTCGGGTATTCTCTTTTTGGGTCGACTGTGCAGCTTCGCACGGCCCCAACTTGATCAAGGCGCTGTACGATGCCTAATCGTTCACTTGCATCTCTTGAGAGAAGTGGCTGTTCCAGGTCTTCTACGATGTAGATGTCGGTCATGAATGTTTTGCCCCTGTAGTAAAGGGTCTCGTTCATGACACCAAGAACTGTCAAGGATTTCTTACTTGGACCCTTGAGGACTTTCTTGGGATTCTGTAGAGAGACATCCTTGAAGAGTTCTTTGTACATCTTCTCAGGAATAACGGTGACGTCGGCCCCCGTGTCGACTTTGAATGTTATGGAGACTTCTCGGACGTCAACCTGGACTATCCATCGCTGTCCCTCTGACGTGAACACGGTGCCAAGAAATGCCGTCTCAGACGTTGTTACCTCCCTCAGGGTGGTAGAGCTTCTGCAAACCCGTGCGTAGTGCCCCTGTCTTCTGCATTTGTTGCATGTTGCTTTTATCGCAGGGCACTTGTTCGTTTTATGTCGTTCATTGCCACATCTTGAACAGACTTTCTCGGATGTTGGTAAACTCGATCGAGAACTTTTCTTTTCCCCATTTCTTTCCTTTCCTCCCTGTTGACTTGCATCTTTTCTGAAGATTCTGTCAACGTTTTCTTCTGGGGACTTGTGGAGAGCAACTTGCTGTTTCTTGACAGCTTCTGACTGTCGAGCCAGATTTGTAGCCTTCTCGAGTGTCAATTCCGGATCTAGTTGCATTTTCGCCGACAGTTTTTGGTTGAGGACCCCGACGACAACGCGATCTCGAATCATCTCCTCGTGTAGGACGCTGAAGTCGCAAGTCTTGGCGAGGCTATGAAGTTCTGTTATAAATTCTTCCACGCCCTCGCCTTCCCGCTGACTTCTTTTGTGGAACTTCGCTCTCTCGTAGATGACGTTTCGTCGGACTACGAAGTGTCGCTCGAAAGCTGAAAGGACTTCTTCGTACTTCTCCATCTTTGCTGGAGGAAGGATCAACGAGAGAAGGATATCGTCTGCTTTGTCGCCCATAAAGTAGATAAGACCGTTGACCTGCTCAGGCTCAGGTTTTTCTGATAGTCCACTGATGACGCGGAAACGTTCGAATCGCCGCTTCCAATTAGGCCATTCATCGGGGCTGGCGAAATCGAATTCCGCGGGAGGTTGGCACTGGAATGAGTTGGCGTTTGCCATTGCTCACCGTTTCTCTCGGGTCCTGGGTCCTTGAACTTCTGACACCATGTGTTGTTGGCTGTTAATGACACAGAGCGCTCCCGGTAGCCTCCTGCCTAGACGCCATGTTTATTCTCTATCTCCAAAAACCCTCGTCGTTCTCCTCTTCTTCAGCAAAGCCTAACAGCACACTCGTTTGTTTCAGAAAAATTCTGCGCCACCTATGAGGAAAAGGGTACAAATAAATAGCGGTTTGAGACGATTTTCCTACTTCTTCCTCCTGAGCTTTAATCCTTAACTCAAATGCGAATTGTGAAATCATGTGGTCGTGACATTCCTTCGGCACCGGTGCGATGACTCCTAGCTTCCACTGTGCTTTTTATGCAAACCATAGAACTTGTCATTCCCAAGAGACAATAAGTTCCGTCAAGGCACTCATTGGCCACGAGGGCAAGCTTTGCGCTAGTTCGGATCGAGATCGCCTTTCACGGCATCCCGCCTTCGCACCGCCGCTCTCTTGATAATTTTTCGGGTGACTCCCTGACCGTCGTTGTGCGCCCAGATCAACTGCTCGCAAACACAAGCCTGGGAAGTAGACATCCCTCGCCGACACCACAAGACGACCAACGGAACAGCGACTGCTCCCACGATCAGCCCCTGGGAGGACGGAGGGTATCCTCCGGCCTCCCATACTCATGCTCTCACCGGCGTCGCAATTTCGGGCTGCCGTCGCCATGGCTACGCCCCCAATTGTGATTGCGGAAAACGACACCAGTGCGAACACAACGGCAGCCGGTCATCTCGACAACGGTCAACAACCTGCGGAAGCAGGGACAAGTGGCAAGCTCGTGGACGGCAGCAAAGGAAATCATGACAACTCAACTTCCAACGACACTTCTGACTCTGACATGACTACATCAGGCCCAGAGGACCAGGATGACGAGGACTTCATTTCTGTGAAGACAGGACGCAAACGGAAGCGCAAGATCGAGAGCGCCAGTGATGAGGAAAGCAGAAAGAAAGCCATCGTTTCACTCGGTCTGACGGTCATCTTCGCACCGCAAGACCCGACGATACTTCTGAACAAGCTCAACGGCCTGAAGCTCACGGAGGCTCTAAATAGTCACGCCCCTACCGAAGTTGGTGAAATTCGCTGCAACAAGAGATTGAACATACTCGCGGTGGACACACGAAATCAAGAATCCACAGCGTCCTTGCTGCGAATCAGGAAGCTCGTCGGCATTGCAGTGCGGGCATACGAGCCTCGGAATCCGAACACTGCTGTGGGCATTATTCGGGACGTTGACGCAAGCATCTCGGAGAAAGTGTTGCTTCGGAACCTAAGCGCGAACATGACGAAAATCACGCAGGTGCGTCGTTTTGCTGACACGGAAACGGTTCGCGTCACTTTCGCTTCTGCGACCCTACCGGAACACGTATTTCTGGGCAGAGTACGACATAAGGTCGAACTATACGTTGATCGACCAGCGCAGTGCAGGAAGTGTGGCAAGTTTGGACACGTCAAGCCAGTTTGCACTCGCCCCGAGGTGTGCACCAGATGCTCTGGCTCCCACGCGAGCGAAAGATGCGAAGCCGAAAGGGCCAAGTGCGTGAACTGCAAGGGCGCACATGAGGCAACCTCGAAAGACTGTGTGATCTGGCAACAAGAACGAGCCGTAAACAAGTACAAAACAATTAACAAAGTAGACTTCAAAACTGCCCGAGCTGCCGTCCGAAGCCGCGGCCAGCGCAACATCGAACACGACAACTTGATCGTTCTTCAGAACCGTTTCAGTGACCTTTATGATGAAACGCAGGACCTCCCCCCCCGAGCAGAGCAACGCATCACAGAGTGAAACACGGAATTCGCACCCTGCACGGCGTGCATCATAAACCCTGAATCAGTCTCTCGGGAACAAGGTGCATCGAGAGAACAGCGCGTGGAGCCTCCAAATAGCATTCGAGAGCAAGGCACATCCCAACATTCATCGCAGCGCGCAGCACAGCGGAATTCATACAGTCATGCGCTCCGCACTGCCTCTGCTCAAGCACAATCACAGCCAACCAGCAACCGTAAAACCTCCCGAAGCGCGACCGGCAACGAACAGCCCAGCCTGATATCCTCACTGGGAACCCTTGCACGAACTGTAATGCCAGTGGTCACGGAACTTTTGAAGCCGTTTGACTCTCCTGTGGTGCGAGCGATTCTCCAAATAATCACGCTGGTTCAGCAATGGCTCTGCGATGGAGCTTGCTAGGCATCAAACTTCCACAAATGAGTTACCTACAGCACACGCAACGAGCACCACAGGTATCGCACTTCAAGAGCACGCCAGTGAACGACGTCTAGACTCTGTAGAAGAACTTTTTATGCATCAAATATACCGCGAATGCACTGTGCTCCAGTGGAACGTGCGCGGCCTACGAAACAAACTGCCTGATATACGGGACTTTGTACGAAAGTATGAAACGCCCATTGCAATCTTTATCGAATCAAATGCATCTTCAACGCTCCGCATCTCCGGATATGAGTGCCATCATTCCGTTCCTGATCGGGAAAAAAGTCGTATCACCGTGTGCGTGCGCACAGACATTTCAGTTGCCAGGAAAGAAGTCTCCCTTCACACTACAGCCGATTAGGTGTGTCTCAAGCTTCAGTACAAAAACATATCCTTCACAATCATCGCGATCTACATTCCGCCAAAAGTGCATTTCTCTGGCGAGGAAATTCAGGCCGTGCTGCAGGAAATTGATGGACCTTTTCTTCTTTGTGGCGATGTCAACGCACACAACCTGCTGTGGGGCGGAGATAAACTTGATGCGAGAGGAAGACTCCTAGAAGACATTTTCAGCTATTGGAATATGGGAGTCCTTAAAGGGACCATGAAATGACCTTTTTACTTTTTCCAGATAACTTTTACATTAAACCGTCAATGTTCACTGAATGCCGAACAGGCATCCGTTTTCGTCTCGGTTTATTAACTTTTACACAAAAAATTATTGAAATATCGACTTTTTCATTCTCTCCAACTGACCGCAAAAGAAGCCGTGACGTAGACCGTTTCCGGAACCGGAAGTTCTCTCGGCAGTAGGAGAATGGGAGTGTTAGCGGCAACGAGTTGGGGTGCGCCGGTAGGTTTTACTGCGCTGATGTCACCGACGTATTTCCTGAATCGGCGCCTCTCATCGCCGCATCGCAGCTGAGCGAAATTCAATGACATATGTTGCGCTACAGCGACAGCATGGGACTAGTCCCATACGCCGGTATGCCTGTTGGGAAGTGCAGCGAGTCTTGTCACCACCCCGTCATTGTTGGCAGAAGGGCCGGCCCGTGTCAGTCGTTTGCAAAGCGACGTAGATGGCGTTTTTCGCGGCCTCGGAGATGCAGGAGCGAGCCGACGTTAAAAAAGATACGTTTGAACTACGAGTGTCAGCAAGAGCCACGTAAATACCTGCTTACACTCGGAGCGGACGCGCGCGCTTGATGGAAGTCTCGTATTCGCGCTGTTGGTAAGCGCTTCGGGACCGTTCTTTTACGATTGCAACTCGATACTGACGCGACACTCGGCAAAGAAAGGTTGGACCGGGGTCGACAGTGACGTGCAGTCTGTTAGAATAAAAATGGCATACCAATAACAAAGTGTACATACCGTGTTACGAAGGCAATCCATACGGCGTTTATTTCAGCTCTATATCACACAAAACAAGAAGATAGAATCGACGAGAGTCCCTTTTCGACGAGTGTTCGTCAACACTGCCTCGAAAAACAAGGGGAAGAGATTGACCTCCTCACCTCTTAATCTAGAATTGAGGTCAGTGATCAAACTATAATACGGGAAGGGTCCACAAGGGTCGCGCGGGCATATTCCATTTAGCACGCCAGCCGGTCGTAGGCAGACGGTCTTGCGACGAAGCAACGCAGCGCCGAGTCGGAATGCCTGCTAGGCCTATACGCTTCGTCGGAGTCGGTGAATCCAGCGTTCTTGTTCGTCGTGGTCTGTTTTAAGTACTGTTTTCTTGCTGCTTGAAGTCGGCACGCGCGGGAAGAACACGTAGAAAAATAAACGTTCAGTCAGTCAGAGTTTTGAGAGGAAGGAAAACAAAGAAAATAAATGTTCGTCGGTCGCCGTCACCCAAGTAACTGGCGGCCCTGCCCTACTGCGCACGCGCAGTAGTTGCTTCGTTTACCACACGATAGATGGCGCTTGACTCTCAGCATTATCAAATTTGGCAATTTTCGCCACACATCTCTAATTATGCTACAAAATGTGGATCTGAATATTATTTAACAAAACTTTTAGGAAACATTCGCCGGCTATTTATTGTTTACGATCGCGGTGCTGCTGAGGTAGGCTCTTACCCAATAGGCGATGTGGATTCGGCTGACGTGCACCGATTCTGCGTATGCATCGTAGTGAACAGGCGAAGGAAGGAAGGCGCAAAAGAGTCCAGTTTTCTTTTAAAAGTTCTATAGCAAATAATTTTTTTGGGCTCCCTATTTTTGTGTTTTTGTGTTTCTTTTCACACCTTTTACGACGTGCGGTGGATGAAACTCGATTTTAAAATCATTTCATGGTCCCTTTAATGATGGAACATACACTTTTCTTCGGGGAGAGCTCCGGAGCGCCATTGATATCACTGCGGTTTCTGAGGACTTCCGTCTTCCTGTCCGATGAATGACAGATCTTGACACCAGGGGCAGCGACCACCTGCCTCTACTCGTCTCCCTCGACGGCTTTGGAGGAAGAAGGCACAACCGGACAATTCCATATACAGACTGGAGTCGTTTCAGAAACGAAACAGAGTCAGCATATAAAAATGGTGCAGGAGATACAGACATCACTGCCCGCATAACATCATCATTGACATCCAGCACGAAAATGGTGAAACTCCCCGCCAAATACCTTGCGATCGACGCAGATTATGAGAAGTTGCGAGCGGTTCGACGTCGTGCTGAACGACGTGCCAGGCGAACTGGTAAAGCCGCGGACTGGGCGGAAGCACGACGAACCCTGGCGGTCGTACGACGACACTTAATTCGACTCTCTATGCGACGTTGGAGAGATACCTGTGGTTCAATGGACCCTCACAAGCCGTCAACGAGACTATGGAACGTGACCCGAGGGCTCAAGAAAACACCCAGGCAGAAGTTTCCCTTCCGAGCCTTGGCACTTTCAAAAGGAATCACTGAGCATGCTGCAGCCAATGCGTTCTGCCAGCTCCAGCAGCGGCGCCCTGCGAGCGGTTTGTCACACGAGAAAACCACAGAAGCCGCCGTGCTACCGGAGCTAGACGAGGCTTTTACCATGAGGGAACTCAAAAGTGCTCTACAGGAGTGTTCCCAACACACCTCTCCAGGCCCGGATGGTGTTACATACAAGGCACTAGCCAATCTGGGACCCCTCGCCCTCGGTGCCCTCCTGCAACAATACAACGTCAGTTGGAACACAGGACAGCTCCCAGAGTCATGGAAGAAGTCTCGCCTCGTTCCCATCCTGAAAGCAGGAAAATCGCCTCTGTCGCTTGAGTCATACCGCCCCATTTGCGCTCTCCAGCTGCATTGGGAAGTTGATGGAGCGTATGATCCTAAACCGTCTGCTCTGGTACCTCAAAAAGACAGGGGTCTTCCCCGAGTGCATGTCGGGGTTTCGTCGTGGCCGTTCTGCCATTGACGGCGTCGTGGACTTAGTCTCAGATGTTGAACAGCATCGGAGCCGTCGTCTCTCCACGGTAGCTGTGTTTCTGGACATAAAGGCTGCTTTCGACAGCGTGGAACACTGAGCAATACTCACGTCCCTCATTAAACTTCGCGTACGTGGTCGAATCTACAACTGGATCTTGGATTACCTTCAAGGACGCACAATTTACCTAACCACGACAGAAGGAAACAGTGACTGTTTCTCCGTAACTGCCGGCGTTCCACAGGGGGGCGTCTTGAGCCCCACACTCTTTAACGTCGTCCTGGCCCACCTGCCGCAGGAACTTTCAGAGCATGTAAAGATGTCGATGTATGCCGATGATCTGTGTATCTGGTCTTCGGGCCCGAACCGCGCAGTAATCTGTGGAAGGCTCCAGAGAGCACTCAGCAGAATCGAAAGATACCTGAACTGCAGAGGCCTACACCCGTCGCCCAGCAAATGCGTCGCTATGGCTTTCACCAGGCGAAGTTGCAAGCGTTTTCCCATACACATAGGAGAGCAAATTATCCCCTACGTCAACAAGCACACCTTTCTTGGAATAGTTATCGATAGGCGGCTCACCTGGGCACCTGAAATGAACAGACTTCGATGCAAGGTCAACTCGTACGTGAACATCACGCGGTGCCTTTCTGGCTCGACATGGGGAAATTCAGCCGCCCTCATGCAGCTACACAAATCAATGGTACTGGGAAGTCTGCGCTACAGTCTGCCTTTACTGCACCGGGTCAGTTCAACAACCCGACGGGGACTCTTGGCACAGCAGGCAAGAAGCCTCCGCGTTGTGCTGGGAGTGCCCCGAGCGTCGCCTTCTGCAGGAGTTATAGCAGAAGCGCACGAACAACGTATAGAGGCGCTCCGTGTTCAAGAGACCCTCCGGCACTACAGTCGTTTTTCAACCCAGCACGAAGCGCATCATCTGGCGGGCCTGCACATCTCACGTTCAGCGTCGAGTTTTGCAGAAGTGGTAAGAAACCACGTCGAAGCCTTTCCGGCGAACGCTGCACCGTATCGTCACCCCCAGCGAGCACCTATGGCTGACCCCAACGGTCCACCTCTCAATACCGGACGTAGGCAAAGGCACAGCCTTCGGTTTTGTGAAGCGGCTCCTCACTCAATATTACATTGAAGAGAACTACAAGAACGCCATCCAGATATAT